TGAGTGCTGCATCAGATGACCTGGCCTCAACAATCACCCGACCTCAACCCAATTGAGATGGTTTGGGATGAGTTGGACAGCAGAGAGAAGGAAAAGCAGCCAACAAGTGTCAGCATATGTGGGAACTCCTTCAAGACTGTTGGAAAAGCATTCCAGGTGAAGCTGGTTGAGAAAATGCCAAGAGTGTACAAAGCTGTCATCAAGGCAAAGGGTGGCTACTTTGAAGAATCTAAAATATATTTTGATTTGTTTAACACTTTTTTGGTTACTACATGGTTCCATATGTGTTATTTGATAGTTTTGATGTCTTCACTATTATTAATTTTTACTATTAGAAAATAGTAAAAATTAAGAAAAATCCTTGAATGAGTAGGAGTGTCCAAACCGTCAGCTAGACTAAAATGCAACATTGTAGGCCTAGGTATCAGAACATTTAACAAGAATGAGTTCAGCATTTTGAGTATACAGCATGTAGGCCTCGGTGGCACCAAATTTAAAATGTGAATGTTTTCTATAATATAATGTGAAAGGTGTGACTGACTTGATGTCAGCTCCTGCAATGAAGCAACCAGGCTTGGAGGAGATGAGGACAGCACTCTGGACTGCATTGTTGGCCAAGACCTCATTAAATACTTCTATCATCTCATTCTGCATCTGGACCGACAGAGTGTTGACCTGCAGACACATGGATACACAAAAGACAGATTTAGATTTCAGTCTCATGCATGAATTGAAAATGAAAAATGTACAAAGGAAGATGCAATCATCATCTTTATGTAAATTACCTTTGAAGTTGGGTCATTCATCCGAATAACTGCCACATCCTCTTTGACTTCATAGTTGACATGGGTTCGGGCTGTGTAAAAAGAGTGAATATCACACATAAAAACATATCAAATTAACAAACTCCATACTTTTATTAGGCTAATCAAATCAAGTTCATATCCCACTAAGCAGTCTTTCAACTTACCTGAAATGGCAGGTGCAACTGAGAAGGTACGACATGAGATATCTAAAAACATAAAACAAGAAAAGGGTTACATTTCATTCAGGTAGTTCGGAAAGATAAGAAAACACAGCTATCTATCTTAGGTTTTACATGTGTCTCTGTATGGGAAGTCAAATAAGGCAAAGCTTTATTTATTCTCGGCCTGGGGCTGTGATAACTCATGTCTAATGTTGATGACAGACTCATAGAGGGAGGAAAATGTATATGGCAGGGTTCCCCAACTGGCGGCCCGTGGGTGATTTTATTTGCCCCCCCCCAAGATCTGAGCAACATTTATATATTTTTATTTTTTATTGTTGGACATAAGACTAAAAACACCAGAAAATCAGCTCCAATAAACTTTTATTTTGGAAATCTGTTCCAAAGTATTCCCATGCATAATAGAGATGTGATCTTTAAGCAAGGTTTTGCTATAGAGCAGGCAGGCATCATCATCTACACTGAATCTATATTTTTTGTTTGTTTGTTTATAATATAAACGCAACATGTAAAGTGTTGGCCCCATGTTGGCCTGGCTGCCAAGAGGTTGGGCCTATGCCCTCCAAGGAACAAATTACAAATCATTTGTAGACTGCAAATTGACAGCAAGAAGCCCAAACAGATATAATATTTGACTAAAACATAACCATTTAAAACATTACATTTACGTCATTTAGCAGACGCTCTTATCCAGAGCGACTTACAAATTGGTGCATTCACCTTATGATAACCAGGGGACAACCACTTTACAATATTATTATTTTTTTTTGGGGGGGGGGGGGGGTGGTGGATAGAAGGATTACTTTATCCTATCCCAAAGGATAAAGTAAACCTTCTACCCCCACAAAAAAAAAAACATGTAAAGTGGTTTGTAATTTGTTACTTGGAGGTCATAGGCCCAACCTCTTGGCAGCCAGGCCAACATGGGGCCAACACTTTACATGTTGCGTTTATATTATAAACAAACAAACAAAAAAATACATATATATTCAGTGTAGATGATGATGCCTGCCTGCTCTATAGTTTGACCTTAAGACACTGACCACTGTGAACTCTCACCTAGATTCCCTGTCTACAATCAGTCAGGGACACATTGATGCTGTTAGACAATGAATGACAAATGGAAGCGTCTACTGTAAAGTCTAGATATGTTAAGACAACAATAAAATTGCAGGAAAAGTTTGATTAGCCAGCTAACGTTACCTACGTCACATGAATCAAGTTCACTAGCTATCTAGCACGCTAATTTGCTCACGCGGTGAAAGTTTACTCACGTGAACTTATCTTAATCTAAATGAATAACAAATAGGTATCTAAACCTAGTCGTGTCTACCAGTAACGTTGTTTTGTTGCTAGCACACTAAATTAATTAGCTAGCTAGCTGTCAGAAGTCTACCGATGTTGGCTAGCTAACGTTAACTAGCTAGCTAGCCAAGTTAGCTGCATCTCCAGTAGAGACCCTTCGTCGGTTTCCAAAATGTGCCTAAACCGTTGAAAGACATTTGACTTTGGCATCAATTCCACACATTTCAACACAACTTCACCTGAGAGAACGTTGTATCTCCTTGCTGTAATTCTGGAGAGTGCACCCAGGGCTCGAACACCAGCCATCTTGGGAGGTCAAGAACGCCGAAACAACCAGACTGCTGACAACCGGAAGACATATGCGGGAGCGCACTAAAGTGGGACAAAAGTCTGCTTTGCCTCTAGCAGACAGGCGAGACAAAAAATTATTAAATTGTCAAAAATATTCATATAATTTTGACACTTATTGTTGATATGTGCAACAAAACATGAACGGTTCTGAGAAATGGGATGTTCATCAGCTTCAAAAGCTGAAGAAAATATGCACACATCCAGGTACTTTCCGCACGTGCTGGAGTTGTAGCAAATTCATGAAATACAGAAAGGAAAACGCCGCACATTGCTGCTCAGGCTCCAGGTGATATTTATTTATAACAACGTTTCGACCCTTAGGTCTTCATCGGGCATCCAGTTTCACATAATTTCAGTTATTTGGGTGAGAATGATAGGAGGTCAGGGTGCGCTCACTATTCTCAATGCAGTGACCTAATTGCTGGCACAATTCTAAGAGTTGCATACTCAAGTTGTCTGCAAAGCCTATAGACACAATTGTGAGTTACTATTAAATGACAAAAGCAACTAAAGAGCTCATAAAGCCATGGCAGAGGCTGTAATACTACTTGTTTTCTCAGCATACACCAACTGCTTCGCATAGACACAGTAGACAGAATATCCAGACACTAGGAATTTAGTTGGATGAGTATCACTTACGATGCCTCCTGTTGTGGCATACAGTGTGCTAAGAAGTTCACTTAAACCTCTCGCCAATTTCAAGTTCCCAATGTATAAATACATTCATTATTACACTGAGGATTCTGCCTCTATAAATGTCAGGCTTGGGGCTCTGCGTGGCAGTTAGCTTGATGGTAGCTGCAAAGGGTGACTGTTGTATTGCGGTTGACTGGTGTTGTATTGAGTGATACTGAGAGGAAACAACCTCTTCTCCAGCAGGTACTCTTAGCGCGTTTCTGTCAAATCTTCCACAGCACAGCTTTGGGGCATTTTTTTTTTAAAGGTAGGGGCGTGGATCAGAAAACCAGTCAATATTTGGTGTGACCTCCATTTGCCTCATGCAGCACGAAACATCTCCTTTGCATAGAGTTGATCAGGCTGTTGATTGTGGCCTCTTGTCCCACTCCTCTTCAATGGCTGTGCGAAGTTGCTGGATATTGGCGGGAACTGGAACACGTTGTCGTACACATCGATCCAGAGCATCCCAAACATGCTCAATGGGTGACATGTCTGGTGAGTGTGCAGGCCATTGATGTAGTGGGACATTTTCAGCTTCCAAGAATTGTGTACAGATCCTTGCGACATGGAGCCGTGCATTATCAAAGTGAAACATGAAGTGATGGCGGTGGATGAATTGCACGACATTGGGCCTCAGGATCTCATCACGGTATCTCTGTGCATTCAAATTGCCATCGATAAAATGCAATTGTGTTTGTTGTCTGTAGCTTATGCCTGCCCATACAATAACCCCACCGCTACCATGGGGAACTCTGTTCCCAACGTTGACATCAGCAAACCGCTCACCCACATCACGCCCTACACTCTGTCTGCCATCTGCCCGGTACAGTTGAAACCGGGATTCATCCGTGAAGAGCACACTTCTCCAGCGTGCCAGTGGCCATCGAAGGTGAGCATTTTCCCACTGAAGTCGGTTACGATGCAGAACTGCAGTCAGGTCAAGACCCTGGTGAGGACAACGAGCACGCAGATGAGCTTCCCTGAGACGGTTTCTGACAGTTTGTGCAGAAATTCTTTGGTTATGCAAACCCACAGTTTCATCAGCTGTCCAGGTGGCTGGTCTCAGACAATCCCGCAGGTGAAGAAGCCAGGTGTGGAGGTCCTGGGCTGGCATGGTTACACGTGGTCTGCGGTTGTGATGCTGGTTGGACATACTGCCAAATTCTCTAAAACGACATTGGAGGCGACTTATGGTAAAGAAATGAACATTCAATTATCTGGCAACAGCTCTGGTGGACATTCCTGCAGTCAGCATGCCAATTGCACACTCCCTCAAAACTTGAGACATCTGTGACATTGTGTTGTGTGACAAAACTGCACATTTTAGAGTGTCCTTTTATTGTCCCCAGCACCAGGTGCACCTGTGTAATGATCATGCTGTTTAATCAGCTTCTTGACATGCCAGACCTGTCAGGTGGATGGAATATCTTGGCAACAGAGAAATGCTCACTGTACAACATTTTTGAGAAATAAGCTTTTTGTGTGTATGGAAACTTTACATGCTGCGTTTATATTTTCGTTCAGTGTATTAGATACAAAGTTAACGGGAATAAACTGTGGTTGAACTGTTGTGGCATGGATACCCTCTTCATGAAAGAGGCCTTTGATTTACTTGGCCACATCCATGTAGGAATCATTTGATGTGTGCTGTGGCAATGATCCTGTGCCCTGCCAGCTACTAGATCTGTAAGTCGTGGACAGCCAATACACCATCCAGGCTCCTGACCCTCCCCAGCAGCCGGTGCATGTTTATCTGTTTAGGAACAGTCTGCAGGAGGATGAGGGCTGACTCCTTCAGGTATAGAGCAAGATGGCCACCATGATGATGCAGAGTATGGGGTCGAGGTAGAGCCCCCAGCAAGGCCCAGCGAGGTGCACTGTAGTCTGGGTACTACTACCAAGCATGGTGACCAGTGTAGCATTGACTGGTTGTTGGTGGTGGTTAGTGTAGTCATGGCTGTTGTAGCATGGGTTGACACAGGTCTCTCCTGCATGACAAGGCTGCCACATGTAGGTGAAGAGCGCTGACCACAATGATGACAGAGCCGAGGGCATCAACCAGGATGTGGAGGAAGACACCCTGCATGTTGAGCTGTGAAGTGGAGTCATGATGGCTCCCATTCAACTCCTCCAGGGAGATCTCGTTCATGTGGACCTCAAGGTTGTCCTTATTGGGGATTTCTGTGGAGTATGGAAAATAAGACCTGATTTGTGCTTACATTCCACTCCTTGTAATTTGTGTCATATATTTGGCATATGACATGGAGTACAAGTAGTGGAATGTTAGCACAAACAGGTACCCAGGCTAAACATAAGAATCCTGAATGATTAATATAATACAGGCCTTGTATAAATACCCTTCTATATTTTCACATTTATATAGGCCTACCCCCATTTCCCCTCTAACTATTACCCTATGTGCTGTTTTTTGTTCCCTTGTTGTCATTTAGATTTCAAACTGCTTAAACAGTGGTACATTCATTTCCTTTCACTAAACTTTGTGTTCATTGATGATCATAAAGAAAATTACTTACATAGCCTGTAATTATTACGAAAGGTAAATTCAACAGACAGACCTTGATCTCCTCCTGGACCTGCTCTGAGATGCCTTGTCTTCAGACTGCAATCAAACAGGATAGGCCTACTAGTCTCATCTTCAATGGATTCTCTCCCTAATCCTCTCTCGGATTTGTGAAGTTTGTTAATTCCATGAGAGCCACCATGCAAGTGACCGTGTCCACCGTTATTGTGCTCAGCTTGCCTGGAAACCTGCCGTTGAATTGTATTGAATTGTTGGGCAGACATTAGCTCTACAACCTAGAATAAAATGATATTTTAATGTACTTTAACGGTTGTCCGTGTGGTTGGTCCTTTTGGCGGTAGGAATGTGAGACAATACATCCACAGGAAAGTATAATTACATCAACAGAAACATTTCACATGCACCGAATACAACAGGTTAGACCTTACCGTGAAATGCTTACTGACAAGCCCTTAACCAACAATGCAGAATAAAAATAAAAAAGTAAGTAAGAAAATATTTGGTTAAAAAATACATACAAAATGAAATAAACTAAAGTAAGCAAAAAGGTCACACAATAACATAACAGTAACGAAGCTATATAAAGGGGGTAGTCTATGTGCGGGGGTACAGGTTAGTTGAGGTAATTGAGGTAATATGTACATGTAGGTAGGGGTAAAGTGACTATGCATAGATAATAAACAGTGAGTAGCAGCAGTGTAAAAAAGACTGGGCTTTTGAAGAGTGCCTGTGTTGAACAATACAACCTCGCCCATACCCACAGCACAGACACCCTTCAACGCAGTGTCCCCACCCTCCATGCACTCCCTCTACCCCTCTGGGGACATCGATGCACATATACTGTAAATCACGCCACATAGCTAGATTTTCATGTCCATTTTTCAGGGAACTTGATCATTTGTGTGTAGAAGTGGGAGTCTGTATCTATGTATCTGGTGTTGGAGAGTAATCTGTCTGTCCTCAGGTTTCGCTCCTCTAATTCTGGCTGCTACAGCGGGTCATGTTGAGGTGGAGATCCTTCTGGATAAAGGAGGCGATATTGAAGCCCAGTCTGAGAGAACCAAAAGCACAATATTGTTTATCTGAACAATATTGCAAAACATGTTGATGCTGTCAGTGTCACTGAAGGTCTTACAGTGGGGAAAAAAAGTATTTAGTCAGCCACCAATTGTGCAAGTTCTCCCATTTAAAAAGATGAGAGAGGCCTGTAATTCTCATCATAGGTACACGTCAACTATGACAGACAAATTGAGAAAAAAAAATCCAGAAAATCCCTTTGTAGGATTTTTAATGAATTTATTTGCAAATTATGGTGGAAAATAAGTATTTGGTCACCTACAAACAAGCAAGATTTCTGGCTCTCACAGACCTGTAACTTCTTCTTTAAGAGGCTCCTCTGTCCTCCACTCGTTACCTGTATTAATGGCACCTGTTTGAACTTGTTATCAGTATAAAAGACACCTGTCCACAACCTCAAACAGTCACACTCCAAACTCCACTATGGCCAAGACCAAAGAGCTGTCAAAGGACACCAAAAACAAAATTGTAGACCTGCACCAGGCTGGGAAGACTGAATCTGCAATAGGTAAGCAGCTTGGTTTGAAGCAATTATTAGGAAATGGAAGACATACAAGACCACTGATAATCTCCCTCGATCTGGGGCTCCACGCAAGATCTCACCCCGTGGGGTCAAAATGATCACAAGAACGGTGAGCAAAAATCCCAGAACCACACGGGGGGACCTAGTGAATGACCTGCAGAGAGCTGGGACCAAAGTAACAAAGCCTACCATCAGTAACACACTACGCCGCCAGGGACTCAAATCCTGCAGTGCGAGACGTGTCCCCCTGCTTAAGCCAGTACATGTCCAGGCCCGTCTGAAGTGCATTTGGATGATCCAGAAGAGGATTGGGAGAATGTCATATGGTCAGATGAAACCAAAATATAACTTTTTGGTAAAAACTCAACTCGTCATGTTTGGAGGACAAAGAATGCTGAGTTGCATCCAAAGAACACCATACCTACTGTGAAGCATGGGGTTGGAAACATCATGCTTTGGGGCTGTTTTTCTGCAAAGGGACCAGGACGACTGATCCGTGTAAAGGAAAGAATGAATGGGGCCATGTATCGTGAGATTTTGAGTGAAACCCTCCTTCCATCAGCAAGGGCATTGAAGATGAAACGTGGCTGGGTCTTTCAGCACGACAATGATCCCAAACACACCGCCCGGGCAACGAAGGAGTGGCTTCGTAAGAAGCATTTCAAGGTCCTGGAGTGGCCTAGCCAGTCTCCAGATCTCAACCCCATAGAAAATCTTTGGAGGGAGTTGAAAGTCTGTGTTGCCCAGCGACAGCCCCAAAACATCACTGCTCTAGAGGAGATCTGCATGGAGGAATGGGCCAAAATACCAGCAACAATGTGTGAAAACCTTGTGAAGACTTACAGAAAACGTTTGACCTGTGTCATTGCCAACAAAGGGTATATAACAAAGTATTGAGAAACTTTTGTTATTGACCAAATACTTATTTTCCACCATCATATGCCAATAAATTCATAAAAAATCCTACAATGTGATTTTCTGGATTTTTTTTTCTCATTTTGTCTGTCATAGTTGACGTGTACCTATGATGAAAATTACAGGCCTCTCTCATCTTTTTAAGTGGGAGAACTTGCACAATTGGTGGCTGACTAAATACTTTTTTTCTCCACTGTACATATGTTGACTCATACTGCTTTTTTTTTATTTCTTTGCATGGGTGAGCTGGATGGATGCCACACACCACTAACTCAAGCTGAACTGGAAGAGGTGGCTGCAGCTCTCGTCCATGTTGTGTCTACAACCAAAAAGACACACACTGCTGTGTACGATCCTGCCCAACCCAAATGCTTCAAATGGCACAATTACATAAAAGTCTGTTTGACAGGTGTTTATCAAATGGAAACCACCAGCACACTATCCATCACAAGAGTGAATAACAGTGAATAAAGTGATTGTTTTACTGAAACTTTTATCATAAACGAATGATTAATTACATGTTGACTACATGTTTTGTTACCCTTTCCTGATATGATTTTATAAGTCCTGAGTCCTGAATACTGTCTCTAGGTTAGTCTTGTCTGGCACAAACACTTGTAGCTGAATACATTGCTAACACACACAAAAAAAAACATTGCCATTTCCATGCTGTTTCATTCTATGTGTCTTATTAATCATTTATATAAATGTCTGTGTGTGCTATGTTGTGGTATTTTATCCTTTGTTGACAGTTGCAATGGTAAAATAACAAGCATTACAAATGTTACAAAAACCTTTTCTTTCTTTGATTTTGGTCTAGGTGCCAGTTTCCACATCACAAGTTGTGTACTCTGCAGGGTTTTCGCTCTATATAGTATTACTTGTTGATGAAAAGGAAATAAATAATGTAATATACAGTACCAGCCAAACGTTTGGACACATTCAAGGGTTTTTCTTTATTTCTTTTTTACTATTTTCTACATTGTAGAATAATAGTGAAGAATTCAAAACTATGAAATAACACATATGGAATCATGTAGTAACCAAAAAAGTGTTAAACAAATCAAAATATATAATATATTTGAGATTCTTCAAATAGCCACCCTTTGCCTTTATGACAGCTTTGCACACTCTTGGCATTCTCTGAACCAGCTTCACCTGGAATGCTTTTCCCACAGTCTTGAAGGAGTTCCCACGTATGCTGAGCACTTGTTGGGTTCTTTTCCTTCACTCTGCCGTCCGACTCATCCCAAACTATCTCAATTGGATTGCGGTCTGGGGATTGTGGAGGCCAGGTCATCTGATGCAGCACTCCATCACTCTCCTTCTTGGTCAAATAGCCCTTACACAGCCTGGAGGTGTGTTGGGTCATTGTCCTGTGGAAAAACAAATGATAGTCCCACTAAGCCCAAACCAGATGGGATGGCGTATCGCTGCAGAATACTGTGGTAGCCATACTGGTAAAGTGTGCCTTGAATTCTAAATAAATCACAGACAGTGTCACCAGCAAAGCACCCCCACACCATAACATCTCCTCCTTCATGCTTCACAGTGGGAAATACACATGCGGAGGAAAAACCCTTGAATGAGTAGGTATGTCCAAACTTTTGACTGGTAGTGTATATATATATATATATATATATATATATATATATATATATGTATGTGTGTGTGTGTGTAAATATAGATGTAGAGGGATAAGTGTTGATGACCTATGCATCCGCAGGTTTAAAATAGAGCATGGGGAGCTCTGCCTATTAATACAGTACAATACAAGTTCTAAGATCTGGTGGGAGCTCAAACTATTTCTCCCAGGAAAGAGGCTGAGACTGGAATAACTTTGTGTAATTTGTTTCAGACAATATCACTTTTAATGGTACAGTCAAAGATATGACATAGATGCATTCGTTCTGGTCAGAGGCAACCTTACATGAGTTGGGCTAACAAAGGGGTGAGTTAACAGCATGACATTGTGTTTAATGTATATCTGTGCCTTGACAATTAATTTAATGACATTCCTTCCTGGGGTTTTAAATTACTATTGAAATTAAATAAAACATACATTTAAAAAAAACATACATGACAAATCGTG